TGAAGCATTCAGCATTTTACTTTGGACTAGAACAGAGAAAATCGTCCGAACTAAGTGCTCCACCTCTGCTGCTGTGACCCGTTCTGCTCCACCCAGAGGCTACTCCACCTCTGCTGCTGTGACCCGTTCTGCTCCCCCCAGAGGCTACTCCACCTCTGCTGCTGTGACCCGTTCTGCTCCCCCCAGAGGCTACTCCACCTCTGCTGCTGTGACCTGTTCTGCTCCACCCAGAGGCTACTCCACCTCTGCTGCTGTGACCCGTTCTTCTCCACCCAGAGGCTACTCCACCTCTGCTGCTGTGACCCGTTCTTCTCCACCCAGAGGCTACTCCACCTCTGCTGCTGTGACCTGTCCTGCTCCACCCAGTGGCTACTCCACCTCTGCTGCTGTGACCCGTTCTTCTCCACCCAGAGGCTACTCCACCTCTGCTGCTGTGACCCGTTCTTCTCCACCCAGAGGCTACTCCACCTCTGCTGCTGTGACCCGTTCTTCTCCACCCAGTGGCTACTCCACCTCTGCTGCTGTGACCTGAAGGGCTGTTGCTTATTATAACTATTGTTAGCTTTTTAGAATGATCAATTTTATTTTTTGCTGCAACTGGACACCTGAATTTCCTATGGGGGATCAATAAAGTATCCATCCATCCATCTATCGTATGACAGGACGAGACATGATTCCAACCATTTTTTTCACTTCCAACCATATCTATTGTGAGTTTGTTTATGTATTCATTCCGTTGCCTTGTAAGACGCCCTGCAGCCATGTGTGAATATATGCACATGTGTTGTCAACTCATAACTATAATGAGTGTCGATTGTGGCTTCGTAATGAACCAAGATAACGTTCACGAAAACTCAAAAAACAAAACTGGCCAACCTTTCCCAGTGTTGTCCCGGTTGTAATTCTTTGGGGTACAGACAGGAAAAGGTCTCTCTGCTCAGAACTGCTCATTAGAAGGAAACTGATGCATTATTCTTACTACACTGCAAAAAATTATCGGATAGTTTCTTGAGTGTTTACTTTTTTATTTTGATCACATTCTGTCAACAATATTTGGTACAAAGTCTTATTTAGTCTTTTTTCAAGAACTGTTACTATATTTTCTCATTCCAATTGAGACATTTCTTGTATCTTTTTAAAACAAGTTAGATTTTTCAAGTTAGCTGTTTATTTCTGTCCATGTTATGTCTTGTTTTTATTTGCATATTGTTGATTGTTTATATTGTTTTCTTTTGCATAATGTTTTAAATAAACTCTTGCTACTACTACTACATTTGCTTGTCCCATTGGTCAAACTTGTTAACGCAATCCATACGTGTTCAAATGATCTCACAATGGAGAAATGCACATGAAATTAAGAGATTTTTTTATTTAATTTTAATGACTATAGCTATTGTTCATTTATCTTGTGCTGCGTGCTCCTCATTCCCACTGTTCTGTAACTTGTGATGCAACACTGAAATTTCCCCGCTGTGGAATGAATAAAGGATCTCCTAATCTTAATCTTGATACATTTTGCCAAATTTTAGCCATTTTTTAAAAATGTTTTATCACTTTTTGCAGTGTGTTTTGTGGTTTGGTCTCTAATATGTTTTTGTTGATAGACCCATGTCAACAACTTGTAATAAATAAGGCTGCTTCTGGATGCACGTGTTAAAACTGGGCAAGGTGATTGTGTTCCTGTCTGTCAGAGCCTTTAGCGCCTCATTTCACACGAACAACAAGCAGCTTTTACACACACGCTTTTCTCTGCAGCTTCTCTACAAAACAATTTGAGAGAAAAGTATTTTTTTTAAAGGACAGAATTAGCCAGGGTTCTTTTTTATTATTCATTTTTTTAAATTTCAGACAACACAGTCACCAAACATACAAATATGACACAATGACAAAAACCCACTTACCATGCAATAGTAAAACAAAATAAAAATAATAAATTACGTACAGACAGAACACATAGGGTTCTTTTAATTATTTGTAGTGCCCTAAGTAGCCAACCAACCTGGGTCCATCCATGTTAATATCAGTAACTTATTGTAACCCCTTCTGTCTAAAAGAGTCTGTCTCAGTGCAGAAAAAAGTGTGATGTCTTTGTATCGCTAAGATTACAAATGTATTAAGAATGAGGAGCACACAGCACAAGACACGTGAACAATGACTCTATACTAGAATAAAACAAAATCTCTAACTAAACCATATTAAATAAGTATAAATTATATTTGCTTCATGCTCAGAGCAGTTTTCTGCCTTTTTAAAACAAAAGGATTGGTTTTGGCCAATTCTTATTTACAATCATAATGACATGTTTGCAGCTGGTAATTTTCCAATTTGAAAATAAAATAAAAATTTCTCCCTCTGCTGGTAGCGTATGGAGTTACAGCCACAAAGCATTTTTTTTACCTTTCATACTTGTTTTTTTCTTGTTTTTTCTACTGAGATATTCTTCTACAATATATGACAAAGGAAATAGTCTTGGGATCATTGTTAATTGTGAAACATAAAGCACACTATTTCATATATAAGGTTAAAAAGGAACCCCACTAATGCATAGTATTTACAAAACAAACATTATCTTTCCACATTGAGATTACAAAGAAACAAATGCATCGAAACATTTGCTGATAAAACAACTTAAACTCATGGAGACACTGTTGTTTTTTGGCCTTGTACATTCTCAGAGAGGAGCCGGCGCTGAAGTCTGCAGGTAAAATGGAGCATGACTAAGACTAATTATCTATCAGATCCATTGGAGACGCTCACTATTGTGTAAGGGGCATGCAAGCTCCATGGAAACCACATTAACAAAGCAGTTTAGTGCAGCCTGTTATTATGAAACACAAGAAAGAGAAAAGGTTTTGCATTGTGTCTGCCGCTAAATGTTTATTTGAGCAACAGAGGAAGAAAGGACGAGGAGACGTGCAATACAAAACAGAAGTAGAGCAAGTTAAATCAGCCAACAACGACTACTGTAAAAGAGGGACACACTTAATAGATTGGGAAGAAGCAAATATCATATATCATAGGGGATAAGGAAAACAGACACCGACTCTGGATCAAAAAGGCAAAAGAAATACAGAAACGTGCCCCTATGGACGATAAACCGGGACGAGAGGGGGCTTGTTTACTCTCACACACCTGGGATTCAGTCCTGCAGTAGTCAGACTGAAGATGACGTTTTTCCTTTGGTGGTAGAGGAATACAGCACCAAAAACAGTGTAAAACAACTGAAAAGTCTAAACTGCCTGGTACAAAAAACCCAAACCCTAATCAACTTGTAGAATCTATCAGAAGACAACATTAACCTCGGTGGAACATGGTAGAAATAGCTTTGTCAGCACAAAGTATCACCCCCAAACTGCAAGAGTGATTTTTGTATACAGTAGGTGCAATACGTGTATGTACAGATGTATTCTGTATAGATGTATTTTTTTTATTTTTTTATTGTGTAACACTTTCAACCTTTTTCTCACTTATTACAAATGTTGGAAAATGACAAATTGTTCTTTTTGATTCAATAACACTAAATTTCACCGGTAAAACATAAATTGTGAATCAAGTTGAATTGCTTGTCAGAAAAAAATACTATTTGACTCTTTGGAGCTTGTTCACTTTACTGTTTTAGATGCATGTGGAAAGAGAGTCTGATGCATTTTATAAAATAGTTATCAAATGTGGTTTGAAAATACTGTATCCCAGCTTTAATTGTATGTTAAATGCTTCAATTCACGTAAGAAAGGGTTTGGTGTGTGGTATTTGTAAAACATAATATTCTAGCTCCATAATTCTGTTCACGACAGACACTGCAATCAAGATAAATACTACTTACTTCAAGCTCTTGTTATTATCTTTTATTCTAATCAAGCTGAGTGTGTTTTGAAATAGCCAGAAATGTTTTTTTTGACGGTGGAATTAACTCATTGTGTCCCATTGACGCACAAATACGTCAAAGCAAATAGTAACGTCGTGTGCCATTGACGCATTAATCCGTCAATTGCCTTTTTCGCTATTTTCACGTTCCCAGATGTCTATTGTATCTAATATGTATGGGGATGACTTGAGACCATATTTTATCGAGCCAGCAGGTGGCAGCATTGCTCTCTGAATGGTTTGAAAACATGTAGGTGCACATGTTGTGCCTCTTTTTTCTCAGCTTTCTGGTGATTTCTGGTGATTTCAGTAAAACTTCCCTCTACTCAACAAAGGATTACAGGGGAACGAAAAAAGCTATAAACAAAATTCTTTTTGCTGAGGAAAGTAGACAGTCCATTCTTTTAGAATCTGGTGTCGGATTTCAGATAGTCATAGTACACAATATTCTGTGGGTCTTGAAAAATCAGTAAAAATCATCAGAAATGGCTGGCACTGTGGGAGTACCTGTTCTGAAATAGGCTGGCATTCAATTTAATAACATGGCTGAGAATCTTTCAATGTGACTCAAGGTTTCTCACTATTTTCCCCCTGGTCGTTCTTTGCCGATGTGTTTGTATTTCCTGTGTTCTAACTTTTTGATTCTCTGATCTGTTGTTGAGGAATCGATAACTTCATTAAGTCCTTCAAGACGACTGCTGCTGTGATTTAGGGCTATACAAAAAAATAAATATATTGAAATTGAATAAACGTGGTGCATATGGACAAAACATAATACCCGAATAATGAAATACTTGTTACTTTCTCTATATTCCACACACTCCAAATCATAAATGTGAAAATGTTTTTACTGCTCTGTTTGTGATTAAAAATCTTGGCTTTGTCCCATTGGCAAATCTTGTTTCAAAATCAGAATATACTCAAATTAAGATAATAACCACTCGATTCAAGCAATTATTACCTCATCATGTTTGTTGTGTACGTGCATATTTCATCTTTAAACCATTTAAGAATGATTTATATATTCAATATCCAAAGTGTGTGCATGTTCAAAACAACATTTCTGATAGTATCCATTTTTTGACACACAGCCCGCCTCCAGGCCTACATGTTTTCCCATAATACAGCGCTCCTACCTTGAGCCGCTCAGAAACTCCGTCAGTGATGCTGATGGTGAACTCCTCCACCTTCGGCGCCTTCATCCTCTTCTTCTCCGTCTGGAACTCTGTGCGCGTCTTCACCACCACCTACAAAGACATGACACTGTTACCACCATCGCAGCAGCTCTCTGTATCTGTACTTTTGTGTATTTTGTACTTCCAGTCCCACAGAACGCCTATCATAAAATGTTATATCTCTATTTTATCTCTAGATCTACGGACCAAGACATCCATGGCTACAGCAGAACATAGATGATCGAAATGTAATGTAATGTTTATTTATATGGCGCATCTTACAGACCAAGGTCACCCAAAGCGCTTTACAATGTTCAGAGTTCAGATATTGTTCCAATCATTCCACACACGGTGATGACAGAAGCGAGTCGCCGAACACACTGGACCATCAGCCCCCAACTAACACCATCCATTCACTCTCTCATTTACATTCATACCTATTGAAAGGAATAGACGGACAGTGCTTGCGTCACTCGTAGAATTTGGCGCTTGCCGGACAATGTTGATAACTCAAACGGGCGAGAATGTGGAGCCGAAGCCTTGAGCAACTACCTAGCAACCAAAGAGCCAATCAGGAGCGGCAATGGCCTGTTCCTGCTTGTGCTACTCACAAGCTAAAGCTGAATTTGAGGAGAGAAGGCACCTGATTGGTCAGCTGGTAGTGGTCCTATCTGGATTTTTAAAGACAATATACAATCAGAATCAGAATTATTTTTATTGCCGTTGTAAGTAACAGGAAGTCACAAACTAGGAAGTCGCAAACAAGATTCAAGAATGTATTTGCCATTTCCAGTAAAAACCACTTTGGAAAAACTGTGCAAGACTATCCCAGTGTGCACCAGACAGAGAAGGTAGTACACACCAACTTCTGCCAAGTTGTAAAGTAGGTAGGCATGCATAGAAATATTCATCAAATGTCTTAATATATTCTTAAATAAAATCCCAATATCCTTTTTCAGCCTAAAAAATGGTGAGTGTGACACAAACGTTTACAGAGTGGCGTACCTATAGGAGCCAAAGTGAGTAAGAGCAACATTTTGTCCAGCTAGCATTGTTCATTTGTATACACAGCCCATGCAACAACAACAGGCTCGAGGTGGAGACACTGGCGAGAAGGCAAAGCGAACACCCACACCTTTTTAAACAGACATGTAACACACAAAACTTCACAGTTGATTAAAAACATTGCCCAAACAGATTGTTTCCATAAACTCGCACTAAAACAGGTTAAAGCAGGTATAAAACATGGAGCTATGGCTGAGGCTAACCCATTTCAAACTGCCTCCTACCCTCTAAAAGACATGGCTCAAAGATAATCAATTGTGAGGTTGTTTACCCTTGTGCTATCCTGGGGTCAAAATGATCCACCACTGTGATTAAAAGTAGAAGAGAAACACCTTCAATTAGATTATAAAAGTTTCTAAATGACCCAGGTCTGCTCAAGTTACAAAAAATCATCAAAATTCAGCTTGGAAATATTTTTTAGGGTATTTTTTCATCACTGTGGCAGATCATTTGGACCCAAAGATAGCACAAGGGTTGAAAATAATTGTGTGTTGTGTATATGTTGTGTCTTTTTCTGGTTAAGAGTGTTACATTTTACCTGTATTTTAAATGCTAATAATGCAATTTTATTTATTGTTTCTAGTTACTTTACTTCTGTCCAGGGACTACATGGACATCAGTGTGTATGTGTAGAGCACCTTTTCTACACAGGGAAACACAAAGCGCTTCACAGACCACATCACACAAAGCACAAATAATGACATAAAACATAAACAACATTCTCTCTAACGATCGATCAATCCAGAAAAGATGCTCAAATATGACTCCGCAGACGGCTTTCTTTCTTGCTGCCTGAGATTTATCTAAAAAATGGCTGGAAATGTTGTTGTCAAAGGACAACGGGGTTGATTACAGTCTTTGTGATTTGTGACCAATCAACTCGCAAAGTTGTTAGAATTGTAATTAACTTTGCTGCTGTACTTTTGTCTGCTACTGTAGAAGAAATAGATCAAACTTAAGGATCACTAAATATTTTAAACATGTAGTCTTGTGGCAAAGGTGTTTTGAGATTAGAAGAAATTAAAATACTTAAACCTGAGTGGTAACATTAGTGTGAGCCTCTCGGCTTAGACTGCTGCCCCTGCGAGCCGGCAACGGACAAAGTGGAAGAAAATTAATGGATGGTGAAATTAGAAGACAAAAGGAAAATTGTCAGAATGAACCAATATTCAACCATATAAATTGGATGAAAAGAGACCTAAATTATTTTTTTTTCTTTTTGTAAAACTGCCATATCTTGAACAAGTTAACATCAGAACTTCCAGAGCCGTCATTTTGGCTGAAATCTAAGAAATTTCCCCAAAAAATGTTTAAATTTCCACTAAATTTAAGAAAAAGAACCAGACCACAACCAATAAAAGAGAGAAATAGAAAGTTATGAAGACTACAAAGGCACATATGCTCAGTAATTATGCTTTCAAAACTAAAACCCGTCAAATTGACTGCCTTGGGACTTCTAGTTATTACGTTTTCGCAAAATATTTTACTTTGCTTAATGTTTTAAATTCCAACAACAATCTATAATTCAGGGGTTTGCGGAAGCTGCTTCACATTACATTTAATTTTTTTGTTTCATGTATTATTTATTTGTACAAGCTCAAAACTACGGAAAGGGAACAACATGGTCTGGATCCGACTCTGGGAAAATAACAAAACATGATGATGCTCCGTGCTACTTTTGACCCTTGAGTGTAACATGCGGCTTCTGTGTTTTGTTGTGGGACTTCAAAAATGGCTTGAGTTTGAGATTTTCCCAGTTCTGCCCCAAAACTGTCAGTCCAGCTCCTCTCAAGCAAACAGGTTTTGAACCGTGGTCGGAGCAAAGAACTCTGAGCAGATGGGAAAAGATATGACTGAACCAGTACAAGTAGACAGTACGGAGGTCGCGGCTCCGGTCGGTCTGTCGCCATAACCAACAATATTGCTACAGATGCATAGCGATAAAATGACTAAAAAAGCAATAATAATAACGATAATACGTCTTTATTCCAGACTCAAGCTCCATTTCAAAGTACCACTGGAGCCTTTACAAAGCAGATGGAAAATCTCTGTGGACCAATGCAACTACTTGAAACATTGAAATTCATAAAGTAGACAGCTAAATCAAGAAATAGTTAGACTTAAAAGTTATTTGGTTCAAACTGTTTGGCTATTTTCTTCCCAATTGTCTCCATACAAGTTCAATTCCGTAAATCACAACTGTAGTTTTCCCTGAGGACTTAACAAAACCGTTGAATTCGCCAACACAGATCAGAGAAACAGTTCAAACAAGAAATGCAATGGTAAAAAACACAAAGAGCCATTGGTTCATAAAAGGCAGATGACTCTTTTAAATCACAGCTAAAGACACATTTATTTGCTCTGGCTTTTGACTCAAGCTAAAAGGAGAATTATGATAGTGGACCAGTATTTTATTTTACGCTGTATGTTATTTGCCTGTATTTTTGTATTGACTGGAAAGCACTTTGTGGCAGTCATGTCTATTTTTAAAATGTGCTATATGAATAAACTTGACCTTGACCAATGTCCATAAATGTTGTTGAATGTTGAGTGTCCTGGATCATCATCACTGTCCTTTTTAGTTACACCCAGCAAAGGGTCCAACAGGGACAAGGGACACCTCTAAAACCCAGTGGGAAAAGTGCCTGATCCCGTTAGGTCTCAAAAGCTAAGCAGGACAGGGTATTGTTAATACTGTGATGGGAGACCTTTGAAAACACACCAGGTGCACAGTGGGGAGGTTGCTGTTGTGTTGTAGACAATTTCTTCTATAGCGTACTCAGTTTTAAAACAGTGCTTTGGATGTGTCTTTCTCAAACAAATCCAATACAATAAAAGATGATATGCACAATTGAATGAATAATTAATATTTTCCCATCTCAACATTATTCAAAATGCCTTACCAAGAATGTTGTGCTTTACTTAAAAAAATCTGACGCAAACCACAGAAAGACAATCGTTCCTCTTCTTTTCTCTTCTCTCTCCAACATCCAGCCTGGAATAATTCAACTCAAGGTCCATATTAATGAATATATGGGTCAACATTGACTGCAGGCCACTTCACCAAAGAGGAACAAGCACGATTGCAAATTAATTTCTCACTCATCTTTCCTTTTGTGCCACACAAGAGAAGATTAAAATCAACAACTCATCGGAGCACGACAAGACAAAAAGCAGAGGTAATGGTGTTGTGGCAAAGGAGAAAGCGAGCGACCTCTTTGCATCCTTACCGCGATATTAGTGCTGCCTGTATGCAATCATTTCAAAGACAACATAGTTCTCAGGAAAAAAGTGTGGCTTATTGAAGAGAAATGACAGAGAAAAGCCACAGACACACTACTTTGATTGAACCCACGGGAGCCAGAATTTGAAGCTTGTGACTTCAGTTCAAGGGCGACTTCATTCACAAAGACATTCTGGATGTGTCTTCATTACTGCTGTACGCGGCGTGATAACGGTGGACTATGCTTCTTTCTCACCGAGCGGATATCACACCAGACCAGGTGTGGGGCCGTAGAGAGAATGTGTTAAAGCAAAGATGCCAGGTATCGTCAATTTCTCAAGAAATAGTTACACTGCACATACGCTAACAAAGCAACGTCTAATGCAGCATTAAAAAGTAGTAACAAATCAGCAATGTTTTTGTGTCCCCAGTAATACATTTTTATTTTGTTTGAATTGTGCCACAAAACAATACAAAAATCACTATCTAATTTCCTATTTCCATCCTCCCATTTTCTTCCACTTTATCCATTGCTGGCTCAAGAGTAAAAAGTGTATTATGTCCTCTTTATTGTTAAGGATTCAAAGGTTCTTCTAAAAAGACAAAAGGGTATAGAAGCTGGAACTGCTTATTACAGTCATGTTTGGGTAGAAGACTCTTCATGATGGTGTGATGTGTCTCTTATCAGCTGTTGTTACCGGATGTGGTCAGTCTGACAGATCCCCGCCGCGCTGTGGTCTCTGGACAAGTGAGTTCCAACTGTGAACCGAGGTGAAATCAGAAAGCGGGGCACATTGACCCTCAACAGAGATGGGGGGCCTTCATCTTGCTTTGAAATCAGGAAGCGGGGCACATACTTGGGACTACTTTCTTAGAGATTGCACAGCGTGGCAGGGCGTGTGGTCAGTCTGATGGATTTGTCAGACTGACCACATCCAGTAACAACAGTTGACAAGAGACACGTCACACCATCATACATCACCTCTGACGAAGGCGGAAGTCTACGGCCCAAATATGTGATTCAGGCAGCACTAGATTCTTAACACTTTTCAGGAGAAACTTCTAAAGCTTAGACTTTGTCCAGCTCATGTGGGAAATCCTAAGGCCTTTTCGGATCAGCTCAGTAACATAGGCGTCCAGGAGGCTTTGGAGACCGAGCCCAGAGCAACCTTTACTGGCTCCTTTCAATGTTTAATCGTGTTACAACAAAACGCGGCTGGAGTTTTTTTTAGCTCCATTCACTGATATCAGGGACATCTGGCACAAACATTTTACTATGACAAATCTTCAAACTATGATTTCAAGGACAGAGCCGCTGTCTGCCTTTTAAAACAAAACAATTGCCTCTAAATTAGTTTTGCTTATTGTCTCTGGTCAGATTAGAATAGATTCAGATCTCAATCAAACAGAATGTATTTACCCACAAGATAAGAGTGTTTTTGTCATCTCTCACTGAATTTGTTATGTTTACCCACAATTTCACATTCTTCATGACATACCAAAGTAAATTTTCTCAAGATCATCCAGCAAAAAAACAAACACAAATAATCTATAATAATGAATATGTTTTTGAGCGTCCCATTACCACCAGCAGCACAGAGCTCAGTATATGGCACAGTTTAGCACCGTTCCCACTGCACCAATTATAAAGTGGACATCAATCATTGAAATTGCAGCTCCTATATTGAAAACAGAAATCTGCCAAGAATAACTATCCTTCATCTTTACCGCCAAAGTCAGCTTGGAAATAGATCCATAGAATCTGTGGGAAAAGGGAAATGAGTCCAGGAGTGGCAGCAGGTTTAGAGGAGCAGTGACAGGAGCTCATAACGAAGCCACAAGGACAATTACATCAAAGTGAAATGGTTCTTCACACAAGTGGCTCCTTCAGGCGTCTTACGGATCATCGTTTTAGATCTAGCTCACTGTTTACTTAAAAAACAAAGTAATGAAATGAACTAGTCTGTTTAGAATCGGAGAGTAGTAAAGTTTTTCATAGGAAATACTATTGATTGACCACAGGACTGAGACAGGAGCTTTTAAGACAGAAGGGGTGAGACTCATATGTTTGTGGCAGAAGTTCCTTATATCAGCTTGGATGGATCTAAAAACCACAAATGTTGTAGCATTGATTAAAAACTCACTTTGACTGAGACAAAGAAAAAGAGGTAAGCAGACACCTTTACGTGTATTTAAAGTCTGCATGTGTCTGAGGTCTGTCAGATGCCCGGTGCACACTCGGGTAGTCTTGCACAGTTTTTCCAATGTGGTTTTACTGCAAATGGCAAATAAATTCTTGAATCTTGAAGTTGATTTTGCGTAAAATATGTCCCCTTAAAGAGAGTGCGGTAAGTACCAGCAAAATGAAGGATTGTCAAGTTACAACACCATGTATGAATAGCTAGCAGTAAGTAAACAAAAAAGGCAAAAAACAATGATTATAAATTTATGAAATCTCAAAGCAAGTCAAATATAATTGCATTTCTAATAATAATTAGATGTTTCTTTCTGCGATATTGCTAATTATTGCATTTACCGTTAGTATTATTTTATGACCAAAAGACCTACAGTACGTGGCTCTTTGTAGTAAAAAGGGTTTCCAATAGTACTCAATAAATGCCTTTTTACAGACCAGAGCGTAACTCTCGCTTTAGCTGGATCCGGTAGATGATAGAAATGAGCAAAAAGAAAATCTGTTGTGTGTTTCCCACGACAGATGCGTGGGAGACGGAGAGTCCGCACCAAACTCCGGCTCTTTAAAAACACCCACTCAATGTCTGCTCCAGTGAGAAGACTTTAACAACAGACAAACGGCGGGAAGCAGACAGCATCTTGTAACGAAGCCGAAAAATAACACAAAAGAAGACGTCTCCAAACCTCCTGTCTGTCAAAGCTGGTCCAGAACAGTCTGCTACCTGCGCCTCTCAGGCTGAAACAAACTCACTATCACTTATAATCGCACAAATCACAATTTCACAGTGATTTGTAAAGGATTGAACTGGGTTAGTGAAAAGTTTTCGGTGCAAATTGAGCAAACTAATTGTTCTTACTAAATGCAAATTATTAGTCATTATTAATTTTCTGGAACACTCCCCAAACCTAACAACATCCATGTAGACTCCATTCCATTAAAATCAATGGTTTTTTTGTAGCAGTAGCAGTCGTCTCAGAGGACTTTACGAAGCTGTTGAGTCGCCAACAATCGATCAGAGAATAAGCCATTGGTCCTCAAAGGGCAGATGACCAATGTCCATAAATGTTCATGTTGAATGTCAAATATTCTGAATCATCACCACAGTCCTTAGACCAGGCATGTCCAAACTCAGGCCTGCGGGCCAAATGCGGCCCTTTGTGGCCCTTCTTCTGTCATCCAACCAACTTCAGCTTCACCAATACAGTCATGCTATACCTTGTTGTAAATCTCAGACCCTCTGGAATCCAGTTGTTTTTTTTTTTATTGTCAAAACATTCCAAAAAAATGCAGCCGTGGTGTGAATCAATAAGCACGTATAATAACCCATTTTAAATTCCAGAATGCAGTCGTTCCAGCTCAAATCCAGTTTTTTTTAATCCAGGTTAAGTCCGATGAACTAAAGTGGCCCTCTGGCTAAAAACTTTGCCCCACCCCTGCATTAGACCTTCCTGCATCGGCAAGGACAGTGAGGAAAAAAACTGACTGGAGCCAGA